GGTGGTGGTGGTGGTGGGGGGCACATTGATGCCGAGAGGCGGCAGGCCACTTTCTCTCTCTGCGCGCGTGGTGGACCGGAGGGGAGGTCGCTTCTGAACAAGAGCTCGATAGCTCGGCGGGACCTTACGAGCGGTAACGTGAAACACAGCACGGATTTGAGTTTGTTGTTTTTCGTGATTGGCTTTCACCTTCCCCCCCCCCCCCCCCAAAGTTTTGCACCGCCGTCGTCTTGCTAGCGTTGCTCATTACTGCGACGTTCTCACCCCGTGCCCCTACGGGAAATCTGCGAAAAAAAGAGCTTCACAGCTCTTCGGGTTCCTCCAGCATGAATTCAGATTCTGATTCCATGCATTTGGAGTTTGCACGTCTCTCTCCCCGTTTGCTCGGCGTGGATTTTTCTGCGGGTCCTCCCTTTTTTGTTTTTAAACCCCCCTCCAGGGATAGAAACGACGTGGCGCTCTTACAGTATCTGGCCACTGCCATGAATGTCCGCGTGACGACCAGGCGCTTGCTTGAGCTGTCGCCTGTGATGGCAAGGTCGCCTCCAGGAAAAGAGCTATACAGCTCAGTGGGGCCTTAGCTGGCGATAGTATAAAAGTTACAAACAGTAACGTTTTAACACGTAGGGGGCCTTCGCGACCAATAGCATCCATAATAGAGTTTTTTTTTGGGGGGGGGGTTAGATCACGTAAATGTATAAATGTTGTGTCGTCAAAACCCGCCACCACCCGAAACAGCCAACTAGTGAGGAGTTGTCACGTAAACAGAACGTGGCCAATTCGTCACCAGTACAGCACTAGTGTATAATGTAGTGTATAGTGTATAGTAGTGTATAGTGTAGTGTATAGTAGTGTAGTGTATATAGTAGTGTATAGTGTAGTGTATAGTGTAGTGTATAGTACTGTATAGTAGTTTATAGTGTAGTGTTTAGTAGTGTATAGTGTAGTGTATAGCAGTGTATAGTGTAGTGTATAGTGTAGTGTATAGTAGTGTATAGTGTAGTGTATAGCAGTGTATAGTGTAGTGTATAGTGTAGTGTATAGTAGTGTATAGTGTAGTGTATAGTGTAGTGTGTAGTGTAGTGTATAGTAGTGTATAGTGTAGTGTATAGTAGTGTAGTGCAGTGTATATAGTAGTGTATAGTGTAGTGTATAGTAGTGTATAGTGTAGTGTATTGTAGCGGATAGTAGTGTATAGTGTAGTGTATAGTGTAGTTATAGTGTAGAGTATAGTAGTGTATAGTGTAGTGTATAGTGTAGTATACTAGTACAGCACATCGGTGTGTTGGAGAGCCAAGCCACAATATTTACAATCTGAGTACGACGTTTCGCCAGTAATTACAACCAGCTTCATCAGGCGACAGCCAGATTTGTGGAGAAGTCCACCTGTTTCGTTCCTGATGAAGCTGGTTGTAATTACTGGCGAAACGTCGTACTCAGTTTGTAAATGTTGTGGCTTGGCTCTCCAACACACCGGTGTGCTGTACTAGTATACTACACTATACACTACACTATACACTACTATACACTACTATACACTACACTATATACTACACTATACACTACTATACACTACACTACTACACTATATACTACTATACACTACTATCCACTACACTGTACACTACTACACTATATACTACTATACACTACACTATACACTACTACACTATACACTACACTATACACTACTATACACTACACTATACACTACTATATCCTACACTATACACTACTATACACTACACTATACACTACTACACTATATACTACTATACACTACTATACACCACACTATACACTACTATACACTACACTATACACTACACTATATACTACTATACACTACTAGACACTACACTATACACTACTATATACTACACTATACACTACTATACACTACACTATACACTACACTATACACTCCACTTTACACTAGTGCTGTACTAGTGACAAATTGGCCACGTTCTGTTTACGTGACAATCCTTACTGGCTGTGTCGGGTGGTGGCGGGTTTAACGACACATTTATATATTTATACGATATAACCCCCCCCCCCAAAAAAAAACTCTATTACGTAAAATATTTTATTTTAAGTTGGCTCGTCTCTCTTTCTCTCTCTCCCCGTATAGTTTATCGATTCCGCAGTCTCTCGAGTCTTGGCGTCTGTGGACGACGCTGCAGATGCCAAGAGCGCTCTTCTCTGGCCGACATGCAGGTAGACGAGACTCCAATTGAGGCTGGGGTAGAGAGGCTTAGAAGCCGTGTTCAGAGGACCACACGGACACGTCTTGCACCCGTGCGTCGATTTAGGGCGGTGTGTGTTTATGTCAAGTGTGCTATTCGGTTCGCGCTGAGCAGAGCAAGGAGTAGTTAAGCGAGTTTTTTTATCGCAGTTTTATTGGCCTGGCCAGAGTTATGACAGGCCCGAATAAAAAAAAAACACTGGCCTCCTTGGGTCATTAAATGGCTTTTTATAACAACATTTTTTATCTTATATATATTTCACGCAGGGCCGAGTGGTGATGCAGTGTAGTCAGCGCACTGCACTTTAAACAATTTTTTATTTTATTTTACCAGGTAAGGCATACTGCGCTGTATAGCTCTCTTTCATTAGCGACCTGGCCACAAATGATAGCTCAAACCAAGTAGGCTTATCACGTGAAAATGTACAGCAGACAAATACTCTAAACGCGTGACGTTGATTCTCAATGTGGGGGGAAAAAAACGCAGGGCTCTTTCAAAAATCCACGCAGCCGCGGAGAGAGAGACACGCAAACTCAAAATATACAGCAGCAGGCATCGTCAGGGTCGGGATCGAAGCCACGACCTCCTGCATACCAGGCGAGGTAGTTAACATCTCCTAGCCACCGTGATGATGATGAGAGAGAGACAGACACGCAAGCTCAAAATATACAGCAGGCATCGTCAGGGTCGGGATCGAACCCACAACCTCCTGCATACCAGGCGAGGTAGTTAACATCTCCTAGCCACCGTGATGATGATGAGAGAGAGAGACACGCAAACTCAAAATATACAGCAGGCATCGTCAGGGTCGGGATCGAAGCCACGACCTCCTGCATACCAGGCGAGGTAGTTAACATCTCCTAGCCACCCTGATGATGATGAGAGAGACACGCAAACTCCAAATGTACAGCAGACATCAGGGTCGGGATTGAACCCACGACCTCCTGCAAACCAGGCGAGGTAGTTAACATCTCCTAGCCACCCTGATGATGATGAGAGGGACACGCAAACTCCAAATGTACAGCAGACATCAGGGTCGGGATTGAACCCACGACTCTCCTGCATACCAGGCGAGGTAGTTAACATCTCCTAGCCACCCTGATGATGATGAGAGAGACACGCAAACTCCAAATGTACAGCAGACATCAGGGTCGGGATTGAACCCACGACCCTCCTGTATATTCCAGGCGAGGTAGTTCACGCCTCACCACCGTGTAGCTCCGCCACCTGCGTCTGACCGATGGCCACCGCTAACATCAGCAGCGAGCGATATCTAAACCGACCCGGTGCACCTCCCTCTCCACCAGCCTGCGTCGAGCACCATGGCCGACGTACCATCAAACAAACCTCCACGGCCGACAAGGTGTGGCTAGGGCTTCATCCTGCCAGTTGATTGCGAGAGAGTAATATTCCAGGCGGAAAAAAAAGACGCACACACACACACACAGAGACTCCTTATTACTGGGCCATAGGTCCCAGTTTACCGTGCGGCTGAGCAGAGTGGTGGCATCGCTCAGGGCTCACTGTTGTTGATATTCTCGACGTGAATGTCGGTGTGAGCGGTGGCGCAGCAGTTAGCACTACGCTGCGCTACGAACCCGGCGACTCCGGGTTCGAATCCCGCTCACGGCTCAACACCCGGAACCGGTCCTGAGCCTCTTCTAGGTCGACTCAGCCTCAAATGAGTACCTGGTGTGTGCTGTCTAAACATCGCCACTGGGGAGGCAAAGGCGGCTGGGCGTGGTGCTGTCCACCCACCCCCTTCGTGTGCCGTTCCTGGCTTCATAGGTGCTGATCGCTAACCGCACTTGCCCCCAAAGTATGTTAAGGCTATACGGGTGGGGGGGGGGGGGGGGAATTTGTCTTTGGAGCTTGAATAAAGATGCCCCCAGGAATAACGTTGCTCAGGGCAACCGAAGACAGCGAGTTCGTAATAAACGGGTGTATTTTTTTTTATTGGGTTAGATCTCGTAAAATATTAACGGGTCATTAACCCACCACCACCTGACGCAGCTAATTAGTAATGTTTGTCACGTGTAACAAAATTGCCAATTAGTTACTGCTTCAGCACGCCGGTGTGCTGGATAGCCAAACCCACCCGTGACGTCTCGCCGGCGATGACAACAACAAGCCAGGGTCGTGAACCTTCCTCGCTGGCCGTGGCAGGCGGCAGGCGGCGGGGTTAACAATCTCGCTCCAAAAAAAATATTTTAAAAAATCATCCCACGAAACTTTATCGCGAATGACGTCGGCTGCAACGGCCGATTCGTCAAACCGCGGACAGGGTCACCGGTTCGCGCTTCTGTGGTCGTCTGGAACGCTCTTCCTTGCGATATTTGGAAGCCACCGGGGATGTGTCGCTTTGAAATCATCATCTAGATTGACAAAGTCGTTTCTTTAGAACTGCTTTTTGTGTTTCAGTTTGTTGTACTTTCCCTCCCCCTCTCCCCCCCCCCCCCACGATTAGTGCGGTTGGCTACGTACGGTGAGAAAGAAGTTTCACGTGCGTAAAACCCACACACACCCACCCATCCACCCTCGCCCACTCGCCCTCTCGCCCACGCACTCGTCACGCCGCAGGTCACCACCAACGCACTCACCAACCCACTCACGCACCCGCTCTCTCACTCACTCACCCACTCACCCACTCACCCCGCTGCAGCACAGCACCTCCGATTAGCGCTGGCGGCTACGTACGGTGCGAAAGAAGTTCAACGTCCTCGCACGCACGCACGCGCGCGCACGCGCGCGTACCTTGCTCCATGAGTCGCCGGAGTTGCTCCTCGATGTCGTCCCCGTCCAGAGTGAACGTCTGCACCTCCGCACTGCCGTCGGCGTTCGTCACCGTCTTGCGGACCGTCACAGTCCGGTAATCTCCTGCGTGCGACGGAAACCATCGCAGCGCGAGAGATGAGTCAAGCGAGGCCACCGCTGCAAGGCGCCTGTGCCAGGCAAGGTGCACTTCGAGGCCACGTGAAGTGTCGAAGGCTGGCCGACAGGTTAGTGTGTGCGTGTGTTTGTGTATGTGTGCGTATGTATGTGCGTGTGCGCGTGTGTGCGTGTGTGTATGCGCGTGTGTGTGTGCGTGTGTGTATGTATGTGCGTGTGTGTGTGCGCGTGTGTGCGTGCGTGTGTGTGCGTGTGTGTGTGCGTGCGTGTGCGTGTATGTGTATGTGTGTGTGTGCGTGTGCGTGTGTGTGCGTCCGTGTGTATGTGTGTATGTGCGTGTGTCTGTGCGCGTGTGTGTGTGCGTGTGTGTGCGTGCGTGTGTGTGTATGTGTGTGTATGTGTCTATGTGCGTGTGTATGTGTGTGGACCCCCCTAATGGAACATCTTCGCTGGTTAGAAACATTTAGGCTGGCCTGCCTACGATCCATCCTGGGTTTAACCAGACTGGATTGTGTGAGGAGCTCACAAATCCTTGAAAGATCTGGGCAAGGTCCCATCGGTGAGCTCCTCCGGCGGGCAAGGCTGCGATGGCTGGGTCATGTAGCCCGCATGCCCAGCCACCGCATGCCGAAACAGCTTTTGTTCGGCCGGATCGAGGGGGCTAAACGGGCGCGGTACAGGCTAGAGAAGAGATGGAGTGATGTGGTACAGGAGGACGTGGAGCTGAGTGGACTTGCCAATGACCGGTACCAGCGGTGTCAAGATCGGCCTCTGTGGAGGAGGCTCGTGAAGGACGCTACTGGGCAGTTGGAGGCAGTCGCCCTCCAACAACAACGCAGGGTGGAGGAGCGACGCTCACAACAACGAGCGGAGCGCCGGGTGGCTAAAGCACAGCAGGTTGGCACAGTAGGGGGCACAGGTGGTGCATCAGCCAGTCATCTCAGTCAGTCGACCCATGGCACCTGGGTCTGCCCCGTGACCTCCTGCCAGCGGGCGTTCGACACTCTACGTGGCCTCAAGGTGCACATCTCCTGGCACAAGCGTCGTGGTGACGTCACCGCCACTTAGTGGCGAATGGCGGTTGTTGTTGTGTGTATGTGTGTATGTATGTGTGTGTGTATGTGTGTGTATGTGTGTGTATGTGAAGAAGGGCGGGTAAACCCCTTCACTTTGCCCTTCTTCTGCCGACCACCACGGTGGAAATGCTGAAATAGGCCGCGCACACAAAAACAAAGATCCCCCGTATAGCCTTAGCAGACTGTAGGGGCAAGTGCCGTTAGCGAGCAGCACCAATAAAGGCCGGCACGGCACACGAGGGGGTGGGTGGCCAGCACACCACGCCCGGCCGCCTTTGTCTCCCCAGTGGCGATGTTGACACACCCCACCGGGTACTCATTTGAGGCCGAGTCGACCTAGGGGAGGCCCAGGACCGGTTCAGATAATCGTCACCGATGTTGGCCGGGAATCGAACCCGGGTCGCCAGGTTTGTAGCGCAGCGCAGCGCTAACCGCTGCACCACCGCTCCCCACACTCACTCACACGCACGCAACACCCTTCCTCTCCGCTCGCGTACCCTACCGTCACCGTCGTCAGCGTCGTCGTCACCGCCAAAAGACGCCAAAAGGCGTCCTCTGGTCGAACACCGTCTGAGACGAGGCTCAAAAGAAAGGTGCCTCTGGTGCGGACCAATCAGTTTCAAGGACAATGCCGCATATATTATCAGAGTATGTTTTTTGTTTGCATTCTGACCACAAGCATCGTGGTTAATGCAGACGTGATTCCTTGTAAAAGGTTTCAGTTTGGTGTTTTAACACCTGAACACCTGTTTTGTTGCCAGAAAAAAATGGGAAAAACCTATTATCATACAGGAAATACTCAAACACCCATTAACGAATCATTTGTGGTGCTACTCTCTCCTCCCCATGTGACTCCCCAGCACCGTCGCTCGAAGGGGCAGCACAAGAGGATGCTCTGTGCTACAAGACTAGAAGCTAAGCGCCAGATTCGGGAGCTTGAGATGATCCTGCTGGATCATTGTGCACAGCAGCAGGCCAAATACGCGGACGCGATTCCTCGTAAAAGGTTTCAGTTTTGGCGTTTTAACATCTTAACCACAGCTGTTTTGTTGACCAGAAAAAAAGGGGGAAAACCGATGCTCATGTAAATGTGCCGTTAACCCACCACCATCCTACCACCACCACCACCCGACACAGACAATTAGTTAGGTTTGTCGCCGTGAACAAAACGTGCACAATTAGTTAACTATTATTTTATTCTCATTCTACGTGACTTTACCGAAAGAACCAAAGAAGATGAATCATTGCAGTCACGAAAGCTTTAAATCGAAATATTATATCCCAATTCGGGTACCAGCTATGTCGTTTCGCTGGTGATTACAACAGCCAGCTACGTCAGGCCATTTGCCAGAATTCCCGTTTTTGGGGCCGTCCATAAATGACGTCACGCGATTTTTGACCCCCCCCCCTCCATCGTCACACGGGGTCACAAAAAGTCAGACCCCCCCCCCCCTCAAATATGACGTCACAAAGCTCTGCCCCCCCCCCTCCAAAAAAATAAAAGATGCTTCAAATCGCTTTTAAACTATTGTCATTGTAGTAGTGCGTATTTAATGTGGCGCTGCACTCTGATGTTGTAGGAGAAAACGTTTATTAAAAAGCCTATTTCATTAAGTAGAACGTGTTTGTCTATATTTATTTAAAGTTGCGCATTTTGATGTGACGTCACATTTCTCAACACCCCCGCCCCCCCCCCCCTCGTCACACATCGTCACACAATGTCTGACCCCCCCCCCACCCAGGTGCGTGACGTCATTTATGGACGGCCCGTTTGGTCTTAAATAGAGGGGAGGGGAGGGGGTTAAAGTTGATGCCATCGCTGTGAGCCTATCAGGTGTGAAGACCAGCCAGCGGTTAAAATGAACTCGTATAAATGACAACGGATCACGTTAACCTGAGAACCGAGCAACTGGGACCACCACCCTATATCGAATTCGGGGCAGAATCGAACTTTTATTTTTTTTTGTTGCAATCGGGAAAACTCATGCCACCTTTTGCCAAGGCAACGACGTCTGAGACGCTGTGGGCACGACGCCGGAATTGGTCGCAATTCTGGACGCGCCCTTCCGAAGAAACGCTGACCGCAAGTCTGTGACTTTGTATACGCGACGCTGCCGCGTATTTCCACAGCGTGCACTTCAAATTTCGATTTAAAGCTTTCGTGACTGCAGTAATTCATATTCTTGGCTCTTTTGGTACTTTACTTTACCGAAAGAGCTAAGAATATGAAGCGTGCACTTCATTAGGGGTGTGCAGCTGTTACGATAACAATTTACATTTTCACTCGTAAGGCGCCTTCCACGAACGACTTCAAGGCGTTATCGCCGCCGTCGCCGGCCACGGGGAAATGTCAACGGCGCAGAGTGGCACGGACATTTCCCCCGAACGAGACTTTTTTTGAACGTGATCTGGAAATGGGTCTGTTTGCCGAGGGCCCAGTTTGAGTTCGTGAGAGATACATTCTCTGTGCAAGTCCATTAACCGCAAGAACACAATGTCTCATGTGAAACAAACAGATAAATCACCAACCTTGGCTGCACCTAAAGAGGCAGAATGAAGTACACACACACACACACGCAAATGAAATTGTTCAACTTTGCCCTGACAATCTCAATCTCCGTAGGTCACATTTGCCCTGGAGCTGAGCAGAAGTGGTGGTGGTGGTGGCGGCTGCGTAGGGAGTGGTGGCTCCGAACCCGGCGACCCGAGTTCGATTCCCGCTCGCGGCCAACACCAAGTGACGATTGCCTGCAACTGTGTACATCAAGTGTGTGTGTGTGTGTATACCTCTGTGGGAAACGGCGGTGCATTGCCGTGGGGAGTAGCAGGGCAGTGGTCGGCGAGCGGCGCCACGCGCCGACAAAAAACCGAGTTTGAATCCCGCTCACTGAAACGGCCCTGGGCCTCCTTTAGGTAAACTCAGCCTCACGTGAGTGAGCTGGGAAAAAAAAAAAAAAAAAAACATCGCCACGAGGGAGACAAAGGCGGCTGGGTGCAGTGGCTGCACCGTACGAACGCGGACCATGTGCTGCGTACAGCATGAAGCACCCCTTGACGGCCGGCGATCGGTTCCGCGAAACGGGCCGTTGAGCGATTTGGTCGTGCAGCGAGTCCAGGAAATACACGTCCGAGGCGTAGTTCGTTCCGACGCCATCGAGAGCGAACCTTGCTCGGCCCGTCGTTGAGCGGCTTTTGCCGTGGACAGGGGTGCTCGTCAACGGGGGTCCCGCTGTGTAGCAGTAGTAGCAGTGCGGTGCGCCGCGTCCGTCCGCCCTGCGTCGCGATCCGCCAAGCTCACCCGTGTTGACCTCTTTCAGGATGTCGTCGGTGATGTAGCCGTCGCCCTCGATGATCATGCGGTCGCCCACGGTGATCACGCGGATGGTCACGATCCTGGGCTTCACCTTCACGATCCTCAGGAACATCTCCCAGCCTGGACCCGGGGGGGGGGCGGGGGGGGGGGGGGGTGGTGGCGACACGGCGGAGTCAGAGGCCGGGACCTTTGGAGCGGGCAGCAGCAGCAGCAGTAGCGGCGGGGAATCCGATGAGCTACGGGAGCTTCTGTGTCACGCACGTCTGGTGCGGGGGGCACGGGGTCGGCGAGGCGTGACTCAACACTGCCCATAGACTCAACACTGCCCATAGACTCAACACTGCCCATAGACTCAACACTGCCCATAGACTCAACACTGCCCACAGACTCAACACTACCCATAGACTCAACACTGCCCATGGACTCAACACTACCCATAGACTCAACACTGCCCACAGACTCAACACTACCCATAGACTCAACACTGCCCATGGACTCAACACTACCCATAGACTCAACACTGCCCACAGACTCAACACTGCCCACAGACTCAACACTGCACCACAGACTCAACACTGCACCACAGACTCAACACTGCACCACAGACTCAACACTGCCCGTAGACTCAACAGTGCACCTCCCATTAGCACGGTTGGCTACGTACGGTGCGAAAGAAGTTCAACGTACCTACATGCACATTCTATTCTTGGTTCTTTCGGTAAAGTCACGTAGAAGGCAAACAATAAAATAATAATTTTCTTGTTGTGGTTTTCACACCTGATGATGATTGCTTGTGTTGCAGTCGAAACGTCGTGAGAATTTTATTGTTTTATATTTTTATTATTTGATTGTTTCCCTTCTACGTGACTTTACCGAAAGAACCAATAATATGAATCCCTGCAGTCACGAAAGCTTCACATCAAAATTTACATGCAAATTGGCGACCTCCGTTGGTGGAGCTGAGCTATGAAAATTTTAATTAATTCTGACGGTCATAATCATTTATCTTCTACTTTTGAGCGCTAACAAAAACGTGTGTGCATTGGAAACAAACAAAAAACAGCTCCGTGTTTTGTGTGCCCAATCCCCTTTGTGTTGTTTTCGCTGATTATTAGTCCACGCCACGCTTTCGCCTGATAAGCGTTGCCCTCCCCCATCAAGGCGAGAGGCACTCACGTGGCCGATTGCTTCGGCCACCTTTATGGAATACTGCTATCGAGGATCAATTCACACATCTGCATCATCGATTCCCCTAATTGTGCCGCCCGCTTCTTAGGTCCGCGGGTTAATAATTCTGGGCACATTTTTTTAATTAAAATGGATCAATCGTGAATGTGTGTTGGGTCGCGTGCACCACCTTCCGCGAATTTTGTTTACGTCGATTTGATTTGTTCACGTCGATTTGATTTGTTCACGTCGATTTGATTTGTTCACGTCGATTTGTTCACGTCGATTTGTTCACGTCGATTTGTTCACGTCGATCTGATTCGTTCACGTCGATTTGATTTGTTCACGTCGATTTGTTCACGTCGATATGTTCACGTCGATTTGATTTATTCACGTCGATTTGTTCACGTCGATCTGATTCGTTCACGTCAATTTGATTTGTTCACGTCAATTTGTTCACGTCGATCTGATTCGTTCACGTCGATTTGATTTGTTCACGTCGATTTGTTCACGTCGATCTGATTTGTTCACGTCGATTTGATTTGTTCATGTCGATTTGATTTGTTCACGTCGTTTTGTTCACGTCGATATGTTCACGTCGATTTGATTTATTCACGTCGATTTGATTTATTCACGTCGATTTGATTTGTTCACGTCGATTTGTTCACGTCGATCTGATTCGTTCACGTCGATTTGATTGGTTCACGTCGATATGTTCACGTCGATTTGATTGGTTCACGTCAATTTGTTCACGTCGATTTGATTGGTTCACGTCGATTTGATTCGTTCACGTCCATTTCCTTACCGTCCTCCATGAGGCGGCGGATCTGCTCCTCCAGGTTGCCGCCCTCCAGGTTAAACACCTGCGTGCTCTGCGTGCCGTCCGGGTTGATGACCAACTTGCGCACCGTGATCTTGGTGATGCCACCTGTGGGAGACGCGCAAGTCAGCGTGCCCACGTGGCGGTGGTGCAGCAGGACGGGGTGGGGCGGCCGCCTTCCTTCATCGGTGCCACCTGTGCCACCTGTGCCACCTGTGTTACCTGTGTTACCTGTACCACCTGTGCCACCTGTGCCACCTGTGTTACCTGTACCACCTGTGTCACCTGTGCCACCTGTGTCACCTGTGCCACTGATGCCACCTGTGCCAACTGTGTCACCTGTGTTACCTGTGCCACCTGTGCCACATGTGTCACCTGTGTTACCTGTGCCACCGATGCCACCTGTGCCACCTGTGTCACCTGTGCCACCTGTGCCACCTGTGCCACGTGTGCCACCTGTGCCACCTGTGCCATCGGTGCGACCTGTGCCACCTGTGCCACCTGTGCCACCTGTGTCACCTGTGCCACCTGTGCCACCTGTGTCACCTGTGTCACCTGTGCCACCTGTGTCACCTGTGCCATCGGTGCCACCTGTGCCACCTGTGTCACCTGTGCCACCTGTGCCACCGATGCCACCTGTGCCACCTGTGCCACCTGTGCCACCGATGCCACCTGTGCCACCTGTGCCACCTGTGCCACCTATGCCATCGATGCCACCTGTGCCACCTGTGCCACCTGTGCCATCGATGCCACCTGTGCCACCTGTGCCACCTGTGCCACCTGTGCCACCGGTGCCACCTGTGTTACCTGTGCCACGTGTGCCACCTGTGCCACCTGTGCCACCTGTGCCACCTATGCCATCGATGCCACCTGTGCCACCTGTGTCACCTGTGCCACTGATGCCACCTGTGCCACCTGTGTTACCTGTGCCACCTGTGCCACCTGTGCCACCTGTGCCACCGATGCCATCGGTGTGACCGGTGCCACCTGTGCCACCTGTGCCACCGATGCCACCTGTGCCACCTGTGCCACCTGTGTCACCTGTGCCACCTGTGTCACCGGTGCCACCTGTGTTACCTGTGCCACTGATGCCACCTGTGCCACCTGTGCCACCTGTGTCACCTGTGCTATCGGTGCGACCGGTGCCCTCGCCACTCGTGGCTCAAGCGACAACGCGGCCCAGGAAAGGGCAGTCTCAGGGTCTTTTAAAAATAATAAAAGTATCCTCCTGCCTGTCCTGTTGGGTGTCACGTAAGTTGAACTTCTTTCGCGCAGGGCCACGCCAGAGCAGGGCTAGAGCAGGGCTAGAGCGGGGCTAGAGCAGGGCTAGAGCAGGGCTAGAGCGGGGCTAGAGCAGGGCTAGAGCAGAGCTAGAGCCGGGCTACGTGAGCAGGGCTAGAGCAGGGCTAGAGCCGGGCTACATGAGCAGGGCTAGAGCAGAGCTAGAGCAGGGCTAGAGCCGGGCTACGTGAGCAGGGCTAGAGCAGAGCTAGAGCAGGGCTAGAGCCGGGCTACATGAGCAGGGCTAGAGCAGAGCTAGAGCAGGGCTAGAGCCGGGCTAGAGCGGGGCTAGAGCAGGGCTAAAGCAGGGCTACGTGGGCAGGGCTAGAGCAGGGCTAGAGCAAGGCGAGGTGAGCGGGGCTAGAGCAGAGCTAGAGCCGGGCTACGTGGGCAGGGCTAGAGCCGGGCTACGTGAGCGGGGCTAAAGCAGGCCTAGAGCAGGGCTACGTGAGCGGGGCTAGAGCAGGGCTAGAGCAGGGCTAGAGCAGGGCTAGAGCCGGGCTACGTGAGCGGGGCTAGAGCAGGGCTAGAGCCGGGCTAGAGCAGGGCTAGAGCCGGGTTAGAGCAGGGCTAGAGCCGGGCTACGTGAGCGGGGCTATAGCCGGGCTAGAGCAGGGCTAGAGCAGGGCTAGAGCAGGGCTATAGCCGGGCTAGAGCAGGGCTAGAGCAGGGCTAGAGCAGGGCTAGAGCCGGGCTACGTGAGCAGGGCTATAGCTGGGCTAGAGCAGGGCTAGAGCCGGGCTAGAGCCGGGCTACGTGAGCCGGGCTACGTGAGCCGGGCCACGTGAGCAGGGCTAGAGCAGGGCTAGAGCAGGGCTAGAGCCGGGCTACGTGGGCAGGGCTAGAGCCGGGCTACGTGAGCCGGGCTCCAGGTCGCTCTCACTCGATCGGATGGTGCTGAGGATGTCGCTGGGGAGCTCGCTGTCAGCGCTGATGACGAGCCGATCGCCCTCAGTCACCACTTGGGAAGGGAACCTCGGCACCTCCTTCTTGACGACGGTCGCGATGATCTCCCAGCCTGGTGGGGCGAGGGCGGGGGCGGACATCGACGTCGTCAAATCCGCCATCGTCATCGAGTGACACAGCGCCCGTCTCGCGGACGAGGAAGTCGCCTGCAGCAGGCGGGCCTAGCGAGTGGGATTGCTGATCTTCCGGCGCGGAGTTTGGGTGTTCAGGTTTCTTTTTTAGTGGCTGTGGGGAGGTTTTTTTTTTTCCTGCTACCGTGAGCTATTGCCAAAGGGTCATTTTGTTTTTACGTAAAAAAAAAGCTAACGAAAAAAAACTACACGAATAAAAACTTGCCAGAAAAAAAACTAACCAAAAAAAACTAACTAAAGAATTCTCAACAAAAAGTTACGAAAAATAAAACTAAAGCGACCGGCCAAACAATCCACGCAGGGTCATTTATTTAGAAAGAAATCACCAGAATCTTCATCGCCACCACTACCACCACCATCATCGTCGTAGCAAACTAGCAGAGACTGCGTGCGTGTGCAGCTTTCTCAATGAAATCTGGGCGAATCTCAATATTTTTTTCAGTCGGCGCGCACACACACACACATTCCCCAGCGCGATAGATTTTCTGCCTCTGGCGAGAGCCTCACAATAGACATCCATTGTCTCCTGCCTTGCACGCCTATTGTACTCCCTGCTGTGCGTCGCATTCACGAACAACGCCACCCAACGCTTTAAATTATAACCGCGGTTCTCGCGGACCAAACGTGAACGTTTGTCGAATTGCCATGGTTTTTGTTGCTGTCCGGGCCATTGTTATGACTCATCACAAAGTGATGACCGCCAACTCAGATTAATTTATCTTTCATATTTCCATTATCATTACCATTGCCCGTGAGGCTAATGAAGATAATCGTCACTATTTTCAATATTTTCATCATCATCATCATCACCAAAGAGTTCCGTCATCGGCGGTGTTATCGTCGATACCATCGACCATCGTAGAAGCATCGCGAACGTCAACAGATTTGATGGCCATTCTCCGTGCTGCCGATGCTGCTGCTGCTGCTATCGCTTTGAGAAGCGTTCATTGCCGCCGTGGAGAGTCGGACTCAAGATCTAAACAATTTGGTGGCGCCGCGGTGGCTAGGAGATGTTAACTCCCTCGCCTGGTATACAGGAGGTCGCCGGTTCGATGCCGACCCTGACGCCTGCTGTATATTTGGAGTCTGTGTGTGTCTCTCTGCCCGTGGTCGCGTGGATTTTTCTCCGGGTCCTCCGGTTTTTCCCTCCACATTTATAATCGACGTGCGCTAAGAGTATTTAGGAATTTCCACGTGACAAGCCACTTCTCGTTGGGCTATCATTTGTGGCTAGGTCGCCTCTGAAAAAAAGCGACGCAGCTCAGCGCTGCCTTACCTGGTAGAACGTAAAGAGACTGCGTAAATAGTTCGTTCAGCTGTGGGTAAGGGAAGGTCTCAAGACGATTCTTCTTTGACTGTAGTCACATCATCCTCCGGAATTTTCACCAGCCAATCTCGAGAAACATCCGTGGGTGAAGTTACGAGAGTTGGAAAAACATCTTCTCGGTAAAATCTCTCCTCGCCCATAATTGCTGAGCTATTGACTATTTTATTTTTAATTCACCAGGTAAGGCACGCTGAGCTATATCGCCGTTTTTTGCAGAAGCGACCTGGCTATCACAAATGAAAGCTCAACGAAGTGGTCTATCATCGTGTAGAAATTAATAGCAGCCAAATACTCTTGAACGCGTGATGTTCATTCTAAACGCGGAGGGAAAAAAGAACACGGAGGACCCGGATAAAAATCTACACGGCCACGGAGAGAGAGAGAGAGACACGCAAACTCCAAATATACAGCAGCAGGCATCGTCAGGATCGGGGATCGAACCCACGACTTCCTGTATACCAGGCGAGGTAGTTAACATCTCCTAGCCACCGTGATGATGATGAGAGAGAGAGACACGCAAACTCCAAATATACAGCAGGCATCGTCAGGGTCGGGATCGAACCCACGACTTCCTGTATACCAGGCGAGGTAGTTAACATCTCTTAGCCACCGTGATGATGAGAGAGAGAGACACGCAAACTCCAAATATACAGCAGGCATCGTCAGGATCGGGGATCGAACCCACGACTTCCTGTATACCAGTCGAGGTAGTTAACATCTCCTAGCCACCGTGATGATGAGAGAGAGAGACACGCAAACTCCAAATATACAGCAGCAGGCATCGTCAGGATCGGGGATCGAACCCACGACTTCCTGTATACCAGGCGAGGTAGTTAACATCTCCTAGCCACCGTGATGATGAGAGAGAGAGACACGCAAACTCAAAATATACAGCAGCAGGCATCGTCAGGATCGGGGATCGAACCCACGAACTCCCGTAGGGGCCGTCCATAAATGACGTCACTCAATTTTGGACGATTTTTTACCCCCCCCCCCCCTTTGTCACACGACGTCACAAAATGTCAGACCCCCCCTCAAATATGACGTCACAAAGCTCTGCCCTCCCCCCCTCCCCAAAAAAAATAAAACATGCTTCAAATCGCTTTAAACTATTGTTATTGTAGTGCGTATTTAATGTGATGTTGTAGGAGAACACATTTATTAAAAAGTCTATTTAATTAAGTAGAACGTGTTGTCTATATTTAGTTAAAGTTGCGCATTTTGATGTGACGTCACATTTCTCAAACCCCCCCCCCCCCTCGTCACACATCGTCACAAATGTCTGACACCCCCCCCCCCCTAGATGCGTGACGTCATTTATGGACGGCCCCGTATACGGGGCGAGGTCGTTAAAATCCCGCCACCTTAAATGCCTTAAATCACCTTCATGGGTTCAACTGCTTTGGCTGGGCTCACCGTTTAACTCCGCCGCCCTTCCTGATTGGCTACTTGGCAGACTCTGGCTGGCACAGCTGACTTGCCGAGCCCTGGCACAGCGTGAATTATTTACCACGTCCTGCCCCATCCTGCCCACGTGCGAATGCCCGGCGGCCCGAAATGAGTGGTTGCCATGATGATGCGACAAGCATTCGAACCCACGACCTCCCGCATACCGGGCGAGGTCGTTAACATTCGCTTAACACATCTCTCATATCATCATCATCAAGCAGCAGCAGTGGTTGGATAGCCGACAAGCAGCTAGTGTGCATACTCTTTGGTTCTCTCGGTAAAGTCACGTAGCTAAAAATAAAATGAAAAATAAAGTTAATCAAAGCACGACGTTTCGGAGGCAACACAAGCTTCCGTCATCAGGTGTAACTGGCACAGCAAAAATTATTTTATTTCTACCCACGTGACTTTACCGAAAGAACCAAAGAGTATGGATCATTGCAGTCACGAAAACTTCAAATCTAGAAGCAGCTAGTGGCTCATGAGGGACAGCAAACGGAGGGTGTTTTTAACGATGCACACATCACCGTGTTTAATTTCCGTGTGAAGTCGCTATTATGTTTAATAAAGTGTTGTCAAGCGTTCATTGGACGGGACAGCCGTGCCCTTCAGTGAGGCTTGCATCGATTTTTCTCTTATTTTGTTTTCTTGTTCCGGTATTTTTAGCTCCACTGCCTAATATTGATTACTGCGTGTACGCGCGCGTGCGACTCTGCACAATCCGAGATGGTTCGAAGTGCCGTTGAACATGTACAACGCTCCGCGGAGTGTCAACGGGGCTTTGTTTTCCTACTGCAAGGTTCGCGTGCATTTGAGGAGTGACATATGTTCACGGGAAACCGTCGTGAGGTCCATGGAGAATGGTGGCTAGAAGATATATTTTGAGTTTACGTGTCTCTCTCTCTCTCTCATCATCATCACGGTGGCTAGGAGATGTTAACTACCTCGCCTGGTATGCAGGAGGTCGTGGGTTCGATCCCGACCCTGACGCCTGCTTCTATATTTTGAGTTTGCGTGTCTCTCTCTCTCTCTCATCATCATCATCATCACGGTGGCTAGGGGATGTTAACTACCTCGCCTGGTATGCAGGAGGTCGTGGGTTCGATCCCGACCCTGACGCCTGCCTCTATATTTTGAGTTTGCGTGTCTCTCTCTCATCAGCATCATCACGGTGGCTAAGATATGTTAACTACCTCGCCTAGTATACAGGACGTCGTGGGTTCAATCCTGACCCTGACGCCTGCTGCTGTATATTTGGAGTTTGCGTGTCTCTCTCTTTCATCATCATCATCATCATCACGGTGACTAGCAAATGTTAACTACCTCGCCTGGTATACAAGACGTCGTGGGTTCAATCCTGACCCTGACGCCTGCTGCTGTATATTTTGAGTTTGAGTGTCTCTCTCTCTCTCTCATCATCATCATCATCACGGTGGCTAGGAGATGTTAACTACCTCGCCTGGTATGCAGGAGGTCGTGGGTTCGATACCGACCCTGACGTCTGCCTCTATATTTGGAGTTTGCGTGTCTCTCTCTCATCATCATCATCACGGTGGCTAGGAGATGTTAACTACCTCCCCTGGTATACAGGAGGTCGTGGGTTCGATCCCGACCCTGACGCCTGCCTCTATATTTTGAGTTTGCGTGTCTCTCTCTCATCATCATCATCACGGTGGCTAGGAGATGTTAACTACCTCGCCTGGTATACAGGAGGTCGTGGGTTCGATCCCGACCCTGACGCCTGCCTCTATATTTTGAGTTTGCGTGTCTCTCTCTCATCATCATCATCACGGTGGCTAGGAGATGTTAACTACCTCGCCTGGTATACAGGAGGTCGTGGGTTCGATCCCGACCCTGACGCCTGCCTCTATATTTTGAGTTTGCGTGTCTCTCTCTCATCATCATCATCATCATCACGGTGGCTAGGAGATGTTAACTACCTCGCCTGGTATATAGGACGTCGTGGGTTAAATCCTGACCCTGACGCCTGCTGCTGTATATTTGGAGTTTGCGTGTCTCTCTCTCTCTCTTTCCCCGTGGCATTTTTCTCCGCGTCCTCCAGTTTTCACCTCCACATCACGCAGTCAATAGTATTCAGCTGCTATAAATTTCAAAGTGATGACGATAAGCCGCTTCGTTGAGCTA